GAAACAAGAGAAGATCTGGCTGAGGAGAAGCAGAGACAGATGGAGAGCAAGTAGGACGCACATAGAGCAGAGAGACATGTGAAGAAGCTGAGTTTGCTCACTTGTACCAGGAGATGGCTATCTCGGGGCAGTCTCTGCACTGGCCCCCGGGCAGCAGTCCTGCCCAACTGTGACTATGTGGGTGCTTCTTTCCACCTGCTCTCTCCCTCAGCAGGGCAGCAGCCTCCTGCCTGCCCGTGACCTCTACCATGCCACCTGTACCATGCCGGGACCTCTCTGCACTGACCTTCCTCAGTGGAGTTCGCTCTCCTAAGGCCTTCTGACTGCAACCATGTCCCTCTGCAAACCTGTCCCGTCCGGAGCATCTCTCCCTGGATGCTTGTGTCTATGCAAGTGTCCAATACTCCTGTCCTTTTCCCTACTAAACCTACTCTTTAAATATAACTGAGTTTCTCTCTCGTTGCCTGCTGCTGAAAGGGGAGCTCTGTTAAAAGCTTTCCCAGTGTGGGGCCCTCCCTGTGGTGCAATGGGTTAAAGCACTGCACTGAGAAGCTAAAGCCACTTCAGCAGAGTTTGATCCCCACCCGGGAGGTGACCCACATGGCGCGGCAGACCTCTCCTGACCCGCCCGCTGCTCCCCTCAGCAGTGTACTTCATCAGTCGGCCTGTTCTGCTCCCCACCCTCTCACTGCCCCTGCAACTCTGACCTGAACCCCAGTTCTGTATGCATAAATAAATAAATCTTTAAAACAAAAACATAAACCTTTCCCAGCGTGAATCCAAGGACCCTGAACTCCAAAAAACAACACCAGAAACATGTGTCCAGATCAAATACTGTGTCTGCTCCTTCTAATGCCTGTTTCAAGATGGTATTTGAAGCCATTTGGAGGGCTACTCTGAAATTCAGAACTTTTCATTCTTTTAGCCTCCTAAGGTTTTTGCTGTTTGAGGCAACCTTTGCTAGTGTAAGTTTAGTTGCTGAGACTTGGATTTTGTTTGTGATATCCCTTGGTTTATAGATCTGATTAGCAATCCTAAAGACAATAGCTCAGTGATGAGTTGCTGTGCCTTTGGGTTGTTTTTTGTATTTTTTTAAATTGTGACTATTTTCAGGTCTCCGCCTGAGGGAATTTGTTACAAGCCAACAATAGCACAGTGATGATTTGAATTAGCAACTCTCTGCCTAGGTGATAAAGGGGAAAAAGTCTTGAGAGATAACTGGTAAATGCTGGTAGCCTTAATGGATTCTTGAGGATATTCAGGTTTTGCATGATTAGAAAAATGAGAGAGCTTTTATCTGGACAAAGTTGGAAGGAGTTTGCTGCTGGGAACTTTAGTCTACCCCATTTGTTTTGGGCATATTTACCAGTGAATTCTTGAATTTGCTTGATTGCCAGTATAAGACAAGACCCTAAGATTCTGCTTCCTAAGGTCGGCTGTGGAAGGTATGATATAGAGCATGGGGTAGTTGTATGAGGTTTTGATGCCTGTGATGTTTTTGTACCTCCCTAATGTGAGGGATGGGGTGTGATTTGTACTTTGATGTTGATCGTGCTCTTGGGCTTCTGTTCCAGGCTGGCTAACAGAAATAAGGCAATGACTCCTTTTAATTGAAAACTTACTGGTGATGATTTGATTTTGCTCTCAGGTACTGTTGCAGGAAACCCAAGAATTGCAAGTTTGGTAGCTGACAGAAGGAGATTCCTCCTCTTGATGGAAGTTTATTTTGAACTTGTTTCAGCTGCTGTACAGGACTGACTTCTAACGTTAAGGGTTGAATAATTTAAAACTTCAAGTGATAAACAAGGCCATAAAACTCTTGTAATTGCTCTAAGTTTTATCTTCCTATTTCCAAAGTCTAGGTATATAGAATTGTTATAAGGCAGGGAGAGAAATATCCCAGAACTCCCAAACCTGTCTGCTCCTAGTAGGTTCTGCCATCCACCACATCAAGACAAAACATATAAGACATTTAATGAAAAAGAATTTTGATAGTGTGCAATGCAGAAAAGACAGAAAATATAATTTTTTTTTTTAGATTTATTTATTTGTACATACAGAACTGGGGTACAGGCCAGAGGCTTTGGGGTGGCGAGAGGCTTCACCAGAGACAGAGCAGGGAGCAGAACAGGCAGATCGACGAAGTACACTGCTGAGGGGAGCAACGGGCAGGTCAGGAGAGGTCTGCCACGCCATGTGGTCACCTCCGGGGCAGGCGGGAATCGAACTCATGCGGAAGCGGCTTTAGATTCTCAGTGCTGTGCTTTAACCTGCTGCGCCACCAGGGAGGGCCGAAAATATAATTTTTAAATCAAGCACCAAAGTTGCCCATCCCTTCCTGCGTAAATGTCCAAATAGGGTTGGTCCAAATCAAGACCTGAAATCCTGCTACAAGTCTAAAGCACCTTCCAGCAGGATCCCATGGAAAAGGGTCAGAAGCATTCAGACAAGTCTGGGAGGAAAAGAGCAAAATCAAGGTCAACACTGCCATTGTTAACCTCCCCACGGGCCTCTCACCCACTTCTGATTCAACTAGTCCAGGATCAAGAAACAAGCAGTTTCTTCACTTGTCTCTCGGCTTCTTCTGCCCTCTTCCAGTCACCTTCTGATACAGGGCAGGGAGAGAGGGGTGCCCCTGAAGACCACCCTATTAACACTTCTGGCTCTACAACCTGGTTCCTATATTCTCCAGTCTCCTCTTCAGTTTCTTTTCCTCCCTGCTCAGCTCCACCCTCCTTCGGGTGGCACAGGGACCCTGCGCCCTCCCCTTTCCCTGGGGACCACCCTGCTACAAAACCACATAATGGCTCTTAGAACTGGTCCTGTGGACTGGTGTGGATCTGCCTCCCCGAAAATGCTCAAGTAGGCTTTGCCCAAGATGTCCAGAGCAGGGTTTTCCCCTGTGTTAAAATGGCATGTGGAGCAAGGCCATCTGAAGTCCTGCAGGTCTCAATAAAACTCAATTTCTACCATTACCTTAAGGAATGATATTACCAAGATAAGGTCATCTTTAGAAATAACACTTTACCAGGGAAACCTACCTTGAAACAGAGGGAACATGGAAGCAAGGTTTTCTCATGAAATCATCTAATCAGCTGGGAGTTCTTCCTCTTTCTTCGATGCTCCAGTTTATAAAACTTCAGTCTGTCCCCTTTTACTCCAGAATGTGGAGCCATACGGATATAATTAATTTTGGTCTTTTTCTACCACTGAGCTTTTGAATATTAATTATTTGCACAAGAACACAGCAGGGTGGGGAAACTTCCCCTCTGAAACCCTACACTGGTATATTTCTTTAGCCAAAGGAGATCACATGATCAAAGTTGTAAAGGGGGCCAGAAAATACACTTCTTCTGCAGGAAGGTACTGCATAGTGCATGAACATTTTTACTCATTCTGAAGGCTCTCTCTGGTTTCTAACAATTTCATATAAATTTTGAAAGAGCCACTAAAAAGGTTTCAAGCTGGGAAGGTTTATTGCATGTCACACAATAGGAGAGCGACAGCAACTTCCCTGACTTACAATCGTAAGCAGCCTAAAAGCAATGGGATGTGGACAGAGTCCTGGCATTTTAGGGGTGGCTATAGGGTGGTGTCTTAGGGAACAGCATCATAGTATATTTTAGGCTGGGCTACCTTGGTGCCTACACAGGCGAGTTACATGTTTCTTTTTATACTGCATATCTCAATAGATTCTTAAGTCTACACAGGGTATACAATGAAGCATGCTAACGGGTCGGGGGTCCCTTTTTGGTCAGGTTCCCTGCCACCTGCATCTGTACAGCCATCAGGTTTCAGCTGGTTCCAGAGTCATTGCCTGAAAACAGGGTAGAGGACATGATCCCCTTAGCTTGGTGACTGGGCTGGGCACTGTGACATTTGTAGACCTGAGGCTCAACAGCAGAATGTTTAGGTAAGGTCTAAGTAACAGCAGCAAGGTCTAGGTCCAAGGGTTTCTGTAACAAAATAAGCTGGGTTATACATTCCTGTTATAAGAAGACGCTGGGGAATGATTATGGACAATGATACCAGCTACTGCTGTCTGGTCTCTAAGTGAGAAATATTTTTCTTCCTTCCACGGGCAAAGTACACTCATAATCTAGTTCATGTTTTCTCATGGCTAGATGGCTAAGCTCCTGGACAAGGTAATGTCTGTCATGCTCTTCTGGTCTCAGGACTACTTAAAACAATACCTGCCTCCCCACCCCCGAAAGTTTACTTAATATAGGATGTGAAATAGCGTGAATAGATAACATTTTCCTTTTGTTTAGAATGTTACAGGGTGCAAGAATGTGTGCCATCTTCCCTGTTCCCGCTTTGCCACCAAAATTTCAGAGACCTTTGACTGCAACTCCCAGCAGACAACCAATCTGACTTTCTGACTGGGAAAGGAGGAAAGCGCAAGAGGACCATTGAAATAGTGCGAGAGACTAGCTGTGGTGAACAGGGTCGAAAAGAAAGGAGCTGATAGAACTTGGAACTAAAATGACAGACACAAAATAGGGTTTAGTGGCCCTCCCTGGTGGCGCAACGGGTTAAAGCACAGCACTATGAAGCTACCATAGCCACTGCAGCATGAGTTGTATCCCCTGCCAGGGAGCTGATCCACACGGCATGGCAGACCTCTCCTGACCCGCCCGCTGCTCCCCTCAGCAGTGTACTTCAATACATCTACATGTTCTGCTCCCCGCTCTGGCTCTGGTGAATCCTCTCACCCCCTGCACCTCTGCTCTGTACCCCAGTTCTGTATGCACGAATAAATAAATCTTAAAAAAAAAATAGGGTTTAAGAGAAGTGGGATCCACTTCTTATCCCCAGTTTAAGCATTCCCAGTGCCTGATGTAACTCATTTTTATTGATATAAACCGTTCCTGTCTCCTCCTTGTGAGTTTCTAGACAGTGAATCATTTTCTCAGTATTTAGCCTTGTCTGGGCACACAATGTTCTGTGTCACCATGTATATTTTACTCCCTTTTCAATGTTGCCTGTTCTCACTCAAGGACAGCCTGCTCTGAACACGGGCCAGTCTTCCAGCCTGTGTTGACTAGTCTTCCAGTCACGACCTTGACATTTCTTGTCTCAAAACCTCATGCCTTAGGGGTCTCCAGCAAGATAGAAAGGGAAGAAGATGGGAGACTGCAGGTGAAAGCAGCATCTGATTTTTGTACTTGTTCACATGCATTCGACTCACTGCTAAGCTGACACTGGTAAAAAGGACAGTGCTATCCTGTGGTCTAGACGTTTCTGTGCCTCTTCTCAAATCTGGAGATCCTACAAAACCATTGGTTTTCTGACCCTGTGGATGAGCTGAGATATTTAAGGAAAAGATCAAAATTTAATTATTATTTCTCTTTCAGCTTCTGTTGCAGGGTGCTCCAGGATTAACTTTTAGAAGAAAACTAGAGACCCCGATATGGTAAATGCAATATGATTCTTTCTTGGTCATGACTCTAACCAAACCTTATTATTGCTTTCTAAAGTTTAAGATGTACATGACATCTGAAACTAAGTGACACCTACTGGTGTCATTCTCTAGATTTAGGAATTGATTTTCACCCCATGGAAAGAATTCGGTTTTGGTTTTTGGACTTTTTTCTTTTCGTTGTTGAGAATGGAGGGGAAACTTGCTTATTCCCTTTCGTCCTTTTTCAGACTGTTTTTGAAGGTGCATGTGTGGTTCAAGTCAGTAAACAGCCTATTTCAGTGCAAGTAACACTGCAGTTGCATCAAGTTCCACATGGGTTAATTGAAAAGTAAGGGATCCATGTCTATTTACTGAATGCGTTCCTCTTTTTGCACCTAATTATTTTGAACTACGGAAGTTAAAAATTGGTATAGACTTGCCTATAGAAATCTTGTGCTAAGGAATATAATAGGAACTGGTTTAAATACTTCCAGGAAGCATGACATGGGGTTAATTTTTGATCAACAGAAACTAATTTGGAATTTAAAGGGTTGGTTTAAAATAGATATGCATAAAGTTGTGTTTTTGAATGTAATATTTTTTTTTTCTCTTATACCTCCTTGGTCATTTATGTTTGGGTACATGTTCCATAGAAGAACTAGACTCAGTTACATGAGGCTGTTAAAATTTTTAAATGTCAGGATTAAAGGGCAGCATTATGAAGCTATCCACAACCACTTCAGCACTCCTGGCCAGGGAGCTGACCCACATGGCACAGCAGACCTCCCCTGTCTTGCCTGCTGCTCCCCTTAGCAGTGCACTTCATCCATCTGCTCCCCACTCTGTCTCTGGTGAATCCTCTCACTCCCTCCACCCCATCTCTGGCCTGTACCACAGTACCCCAGTTCTTTTTTTTTGGGGGGGGGGTTTTTTTTTTTTTTTTTTACAACAGTTTATTTTTACATCATTTTGTACATTTTTTTTTTCCATCTCAATTGTAATCCCCGCGGGTTTCCCATCACCAAGTCACCCGTGTGCCATCACCATAGTCCCGTGCACTTCCCTCCCCACCCCACCCCCCGTTTTTGGTCCCATTCCCCACTCCAACCCACAAAATGTCTCTGGTATATGGATGTTCATTATTTTTGTTATTTTCTCGCCTGGTCCATTATACTCCTGCTATGAGTGAAACCATCCAGTATTTTTCTTTCTCTTTCTGGCTTATCTCACTAAGCATGATCTTTTCCAGCTCCATCCAAGTTGCTGCAAAAGACATGTGTTTCTCTTTTTTGGTTGCTGAGTAATATTCCATTGTATATATGTACCACATCTTTTTTATCCAGTCATCTACTTTTGGGCATTTGGGCTGCTTCCATATTTTTCCAATTGTAAATAAAGCAGCAATAAACATGGGGTGTACCCCAGTTCTTATATGCATCAGTAAATTTTTTTTAAAGAGAATTGTGCTGTGTTTAGGCAGAGTTATAATCATAACTCTGGTATGGATTAATTTAAAAAATTTTTTAGATTTTTTTCTAACGACTATGAAAAAAGTTTCCCAGGAGTCTAAATTCATAAAATTGGTAGTCTTTTGTTTGATCAGAGAGAATTTCATAGAACTTCAATACAGCTCCTTTCAAAAATTTCCCCTTTTTTTTCATGGGAAAGACATTAGATGAATTTGACCTACTTTGTGTTTATGCAGTAAATTGATACATAATGGGAAGCAATGTTGCATGAGAAAAATGTTTAATTTTGTCATATATGTGAATATTAATATCAGTATTCTAAAATTTACGTGCAGCATTTTAAGTGCCTGGTATATTCATATGTAATATGGTGTCTCAATTTTTATCATTCTTGAATGTTTTAAATTATAATGTTGAACAAATCTCCTTGTTAATTATGTTATAATCACATTTGTAATTTTGGTTATTTCAGAGTTTTGACATGTGCAGAAATTGTTTATGAGAAAGACCTTGACAGCATTTTAAAATCTGTGATAATTAATAGAACTAAGGAAGTGAGAATGTTCAACATAGGAAGTGTTACAAGGCAACCGCAGTGTAAAATGGGTTAACATGATTGTGGGTCTTTATCCGTGCACATAAAATGGACTTAAGAGATTTTACTGTAGGTTCACACACAAAATGGTATTAAAGGGTTTATTTACAAAAAGGGGAAATGAAGAAATTGATAACTGAGGGAGAAAGAAAAAGATAAATTTGTGTATGTGTCCTACCAGTTTCACTGGTTTGGAACCCCAAATACTACGCTAAAAGTTGGTAAAAAGCAAGGGTTCCCAAGGCCCATATGCTTGGTTAGATATCTATATAACATGGCTGCTTAACTCCACCCTCAGGTCCCTGCATCCTCCCTTTGGTGGTGACATTATGGGATTTGTAGCCCTTAGTGTTTTGGATCTCTGATCTGGGGTGGGGGTGTGGGTGTGGCTCATAAAAACTATTTGTGGGCCCTCCCTGGTGGCGCAGCATGGTAAAGCACAGCACTAGAAGCTAAAGCCACTTCAGCATGAGTTGGATTCCCGGCCGCAGAGGTGACCCACATGGCTGGCAGACCTCTCCTGACCCACCCGCTGCTCCCCTCAGCAGTGCACTTTGTCGATCTGCCTGTTCTGCTCCCTACTCCGTCTCTGGTGAAGCCTCTCACCGCCCTTAAGCCTCTGGCCTGTACCCCAGTTCTGTAAGCATAAATAAACTTCAAAAAAAAAAAAAAAGATTTGTGGAGTTTATTCAGGACATCCTCTCCCCCTCCCTCCCCCACACATTCGTATTAAATGAGTTATTGGAGTATAGCATAATTTTAATGAGTTCTTGTTTTGAGGTAATTTTTGTTGTTGTTGTCATTGCCATGTTTTGATTCAAGGAAAATTTTTCTTCCAGCTGTCCTTGATCTCTATGGCAAGGTTAAATTCTTTGAGCAGATCTAAATTGTTGTACTTGCATTTTCTCTCTCCTTGATTCCATCGCCACATTGAAAAAATAATTATTATTACTCATGGCAATGTATATAATTTCAATAGGGAATTTAATTTATCTCCCTTTACATTAGAGAATTGTAGCTCCTTTTGATTGGGATGGCTTCTATGAGTTGAAATTGAGCTTAAATAAGAAGAGATGTTACTACATACATAGAAGTCAAGAGACCTTCTGGGGAGGAAAGGAAGCTTGTCTCCATTGCAGGCTTGGAGACCACAGAGAGAAAAGCCTTGGGAACCTCAAGAAAAGGAAACCTCAGGTGGCACCTAGTAAGACGTTGTCCTTCCCACCAAAGAAGAGCTCAATATAAAATCCCTTGTGGAAAATTCCATTAAATGCAGCAAAAACACTGCTTGCTTGAATTGTAATGAGATGCAGTTTACAAATGGATTTCACTGTACTTTTGATAGCATTGCGGTGAAGGTGAAGAAAAAATGATGTTAATATGAGAAACTTTTTTCTTTTTAAAGATTTATTTAGTTATGCATACAGAGCTGGGGTACAGGGCAGAGGTGCAGGTGTGGTGAGAGGATTCACCAGAGACAGAGTGGGGAGCAGAAGAGGCCAAATGACAAAGTACACTGCTGAGGGGAGCAGCGGGTGGGTCAGGAGAGGTCTGCTGCGCCATGTGGGTCACCTCTGGGGTTGGGATAGAACTCATGCTGAAGTGGCTTTAGCTTGTTAGTGCTGTGCTTGGACCCACTGTGCCACCAGGCAGGGAGGACCCGAGAACCTTTTTTTTTTCTTCTAAAGATTATTTATTCATACAGAACTGGGGTACAGGCCAGAGATACAGGGGCTGCGAGAGGCTTCACCAGAGACAGAGTGGGGAGCAGAACAGGCAGATGGTCGAAGCACACTGCTGAGGGGAGCAGCGGGTGGGTCAGGAGACATCTGCCGGGCCATGTGGGTCACCTCCGGGGCAGGTGGGGATCGAACTCATGCGTATGTGGCTTAAGCTTCTCAGTGCTGTGCTTTAACCCACTGCGCCACCAGGGAGGACCCCCAGAACCATTTTTTAAAGAAAAATTTTTGGCTTCATGATGAGGGTTTCTGGGATGAAGGAGCAAGATAGCCATTGCCGGGCTATTCTGAGCCTCTGGCCTGTACCCCAGTTCTGTATGCATAAATAAAATCTTTTTAAAAAAAAAAAGATAGCCATTGCCATGGAAGAGAGGATCTGGGGAGGTTTCACGGGCAAACCTGTCTTCTGACTTTTCTTTATCATTCATAGACCTCCATGTCTACTCTTGCCACTGCTCTTTTGACACCAGTAAGAAGAGAGTGCTGCCCTGGAGACCAGCAGCTTATGTGGCTAGTGAGGCATCAAGATAGGGGAGCATGAGCGGTGGAAAACAGGGATTTAGGAATGCAGGTGTATCTTACATTGGGCTAACCTCTTGGTATCCCTCTCCATCGATAAACATTCTCTTTCCATACCCTCTGTAAATAAATAAACTGACTTTATTATTTTGTTTTTGGTCCCTATCTTTTTCATTCTGGATTCACAAAATGAACATTGGGGGGATTGCCGCTTAATAGAAGGGTATAAGGACAGTCCTCTTGAGCTGATGTAAGGCCCCATAAAACAGAAGCAGTTCTCAGAAGTAGATTTAATGACCTGAGGGAACTTGTTTTTTGCTTTGAGCTGACTTAGCTATGTTGGGTAGAACTGTGGAGCAATCAATTCAATTAAAATGAAGCTTATGGTTTTGTTAACTGGAAAAAAAATGTCTCAAGAATAGGCAGGCACATAATTTGAGATAATCAAAGTGAGAATTTGAACACCAGAGCTGTCCAACAGATTTTATTCTGTGAGAGTCCTTCCACTAAATATAGTTTTGTTTTTTGGTTTTGTGTGTAGCAAGAAACAGGGAGTCATTGACATTAAGAATGTAATTACTCTTGATAGAAGGGACTTTTGGTTCTAAATTGTCCTGATCAAAAGATTATGCTGATGACAAGCAAAGCAGAGCAGAATTTAATCTCGTTCTTTCTGAAGAATGCCCTGCAGAAAGGCAAAGGCTGGGTGCCAGTTGTAAAATCTTTTTTTAGAAAAGATTTACTTATTTATGCTTACACAACTGGGGTACAGGACAGTGGTGTGGTGGGTGAGAGGCTTCACCAGAGACAGAGTGGGGAGCAGAACAGGCAGATCGACAAGCTACACTGCTGAGGGGAGCAGCGGGCGGGTCAGGAGAGGTCTGCCACGCCATGTGGGTCAGCTCCCTGGCCTGGGATGGAACTTGTGCTGTGGTGGCTTCCAAGAGCTTCATGATGCGGTGCTTTAACTCATTGCGCCACTAGGGAGAGCCCGTAAAATATTTTTTTATCTGAAAAGACTGCCATACACCTTCAGGGAGCAGATCGCACCAGATAGAGCCTGTGAAGTCTGTCCCTTTGTTTACCAGACCAGGGGCTACATTCCCCCAAAATTTTATATCACGTTTACAGTTTGCAATGTTATTTAGAGCTGATTAACAATTCACTCATTTTCATCAGAAACATAAAACCCAAACTTCTTTTATGTGTTGAGGATACATTTCCATTGTATTTGACTGACAGTTCCTTGATAAAAGGTAAAAAAGATGAAAGCTTTCTGGGCCAACATTCCCCTCAATAAACATCAGCACCGTGCACTGAAAGAACAATGTGAAATTAGCTTGAGAGGTTGATGTTTTGACTTGATGCTATTATGGCAAATAAATAAATAAACCAGAATTTCAGCCACTAGTGTTCTGCACAATGTGAAAAACTAGCATTATTTCAAGAAAAATAATCTTTGTTACACCTTGAATTGTAAGGCATTTTCTTCTCACTTATTTTTAGCTTTTGAATGTGTATTAACTGTCAGTATATCCAAGGAGGCAAGAATCATTATCTCTTTTGTAATGATAATTACGCCTAGGGAGACAAATCGACTTGCTGAAGGAAAAGTGAGTCAGCAAGTCAGTCTCCCAGTCAGAAACAAAGCCCTGGCTTTCAAATTAACGAGGCTGTCAGTCGTCCTGCCCAGCTTATGAATTCATCTGCTGTCCTCCAGCACGGTTAGGGCAACCTGGATAAGATGGCATTATTATCCTGCATTGTAGCAGCTCAGATGGCTCCCTTCTGCCTCAATGTATTTGCTATTATTCATGTTAGTAATCCTGGAATGTATCCAAAGGGAAGGTGGAATAAAGTCATGCAGGCACATATTTGCATAATCATTTGCCAGGTGATTATAGCTCATTTGAGTACCCTAGTTCTGAAGGCAGCACACAGCTGGAGTATATATGCTGTAACTGCAATATAACATGAAGTGTCAGTGTGTGAGTGCTTTAAACTATTTCAGCAATGAACCAGCGCTTTAGCTGCAAGTGAAAAGAAGGCTTTTATTTGGGGTCTCTAGGGAATTGCTATCCCAGAGACACCACTCCAGCGAGATGATATCTAAATGCGCCAAGGTGGAGGAAAAAATAAAAGAGAGCTACTTGCATTTGATGCAGCAACAGAGTATATAATTCATTGACATTTTGGGTGCAGTGAAAGAGGTCCTTAGGATACCTGTGAGAAAAGTTTCAGCGATGTACGGCTAGTTTCCAAAAGAGACACACATGTTTGCTTATATCCAAGGTTAGATTTAGTAGAAGAAAGGTGAAATTGTTACATGGCAGGGAGAATCTGTTACAGGGCTGGGAGAGAAGAGAGAGGCACCACTGAATCCCTAATCTGCCTGCTTTAAATAGGTTCTGCCATTCACCACATCAAGAAAAGACATATAAGACATTTAATAGAAAGGAACTTTAATACACTTAGTGTGCAATACAGAGAAGACAAAGAATGTCGTTTCTAAATCAAACACCTGAAGTTACCCATCCCCTGGTGGGTAAAAGTCCACCCAAAAGGGGTTGGTCCAAAGCAAGGCCTGAAAGCTGCCACAAGTCTAAAGCACCTTCTGGCAGGGACCATGCAAAAGAGTCAGAAATGGCCAAACAAGTCTGGGAGGAAAAGAGCAAAATCAAAATCAAGATAAACACTGCCATAGTCACCTCCCCATGGGTCTCTCACCCAACGTCTGTTTCAACCAGTCCAGGACCAAGAAGCAAGTGCAGTTTCTTCACATGTCTCTGCTCCATGTGGCTTCCTCAGGTCTCCCTCTGGCTTTCCATCCTGCTTCCTTCCTCTTCAGTGTCCTCTTCAGATTCTTCTCTTCTCTTCTCAGCTCCACCCTCCTTCTGGATGGGATAGGGAACCTGGAACCTCCCCCTTTTCCTGGGGACCACCCTGTTACAAAAGAAGATATTTGGTTTTTGTTTATAAAATCACATCTTTTTAAAGATTTATTTATCTATGCATACAGAACTGGGTACAGGCCAGAGGTGCAGGGGTGGTGAGAGGATTCACCAGAGACAGAGTGGGGAGCAGAACAGGCAGACTGGCGAAGTACACTGCTGAGGGGAGCAGTGGGCTAGACAGGAGAGGTCTGCCATGCCATGTAGGTCAGCTCCCTGTCGGTCAGCTCCCTGTCTGGGGATTGAACTCATGCTGCAGTGGCTGTGGATAGCTTCACAGTGCTGCCCTTTAACCCCCTGCACCACCAGAGAGGGCCAGATTTTAACCTTTTAAAATGATACTGAGTCCTAAGGCAAGTCGGAGATAAATAGGCAGCTTCAGGGGCAGTGCAGGGAGGGACCTCAGGAGAGTTAAGGGAGGTTCCAGAGATAAGGGCTAGGAATTCCAAAGGGGCCTAATCAAGCACTAGCAGGGCTGGAGGCCACAAGGCATTCTGGAACAAGGACTTAAAGAAAAGATAAGGCTGGGACCTGGAGACTGTTCTGGGCAGAGAGGTAAGGCAGAGAGTGAGACACCAAGAACTAACCACGCACAGAGAGACTGGTGGTTTTAGCATAATGAGGGAAAGGTGGTCTGTATTCCCTAAGGCATGACTCTACTTCAGTTCCCTGGCCTGGTTCCACCAGCCTAGGAACCCCACTTTATTTCTGCTCCTTTCCTGCTCAAACTTTTTCTTTCTCTAAAAACAATCTCCCTCCTCACTTGCTTGCCTGAGTGTTGGCAAAGTTGCTGCTGTGGCTCCAGCCTGCGGTGGTCTGGTGGCTGGGACTCAGCGCTGCCACTGTGACCTGGGATCTGTTCCTGGCTGGGAGACTAGGCCTGAACACCTGATGTTTCAGTATCAATACGCCAACAGTTCTTACTCCAATCAAGCCTATTTTTTACTTTCATTTTACAATAGTTTTCTCAAAAGTGATAGCTATATCAGCGGTTTCCAGTTTCTTTCCAGTTACGTTTATATTGACACTTTTTCCCCCATTCCTTAGAGCAAATCCTTTGAGTTCTCTTTTACTCCGTGTTTCTTCCTCACTCTACATACATATATATCAGAAAAAAATCTGTCAGCTTTACCTTTAAAATGTTAAGGTATCCAAAAAACATAATGTCTTCCATTACTTCCAATGCCCTGTGACAGGGTAGAATAAGGGGTACCTTGAGACCCCCAAACCTGCATGCTCTAAATGGGTTCTGCCATCTGTTGCATAAGGACAAAATACACCCTAGCACATAAGATCTTCAATAAAAAGCACTTTAATACAATTAGTGTGCAATAGAGAGGAAATAAACGATGTAGTTAGAATAGTTTCTCTATGAAACACTCAAAGTTTCTCTTCCCCTGTGGACGAGATGGCCCAAAGCTTGGCCACTGTAGCCCCTAAGCTTGACACAAGTCTAATGCACCTTGTGGTGGGAACCAACAGGAAAGGGGCAGGAAGGGCCGGGCAAGTCTGCATGGAAAAGAACAAAATCAAGATGAAAAACTGCCGTTGTTATCCTCCCCTTGGGTCTCTCACCCGCGTCTCTGTTCCTTTTAAGTGTCTCCTTCTGTAACAGGGTGGTCCCCAGGAAAGTGTTCAGGGGTGCCCTGCCCTGTAACACTCTCGCTCCTTGCCCTGTAACACTTCCACGCCCCCCAAGTCCCAGGGACAGATCCAAGGCTGAGAAGCAAGTGCAGCTTCTTCACATGTCCGCTCATTGTGCTTCCTCTGCAGCTCCCCCTTTCTCTCCAAGTTCTTTGCCATAGAAGGAAATGTCTTTATAGCCACCCAAACAAAGCTGTTTTTTGCTCTAGCAAGAATCAGTATCTTTATCTTCAAAGCCATCTGCTATACAAATATTCTTGTCCCTGTCTTAGCTGTTCCTGCAGCCTTCCGTGGATGGGACAGGGAATCTGTAATCCCCCTTTCTATGGGCATCACAGGCTTAGAGCCCTTTCTCAGCGCAGTAACATCTACTGGTCTTCCTGCTTGCATCTGGTCTCCTTGCAGTGTCTCAGCAAGGTAATGAGAATGTGGCAAAATGGACCCAGCTCATGGCATCACTTATTGCAATGAAGGAGGGAAAAACTTAAAAACATCTTGAAGGACTTCTAATATTACTGCAAATAAGTTAACATGAAGTAAGATAAGATGTAACCTATTTTACCTAATATCATCTCTTACTACTTTCTCATTGCTCACTCTAATCCAACCATTCTAAAAATATGTACCAGGTAAGGGACCTACCTAATAGCTCTGTTATTATTTTCTTCACCTAGGGAGCTCTTCATTCAAATGTCTATATAATTCATTCCATCATGACTTTATTCACAGTGAGACTTTCTCTGGCCAACTACTTTTTCCCTTTGTGTTTATGACCATCTAGAGTCTTACATGTTGTGTTTTGTTAGTATCTAACTTTTTGCAATAGTCTCAGAAAATAATATTGTTTTTGTTTTATTTACTGATTTCTATAAGCACAAGGAAAAGTTTGGGATGTAGAAGAAGTATGTATTTTTATTAGTTGAATGAGTGACTTTGGGGTTAATAATAAACATAGTGTTCCTTACTGTAGATATAGTTTCTGCCATGACAGAATGGGACGCACTACCCAGAAAAAGCCAGCCACACCGCTGTAAAGACAAGAGGAAACTTTATAAAAGCTCAAGCTTGGGCCTAACCACACACCAGAAGCACCTGGGTGGCAGGAAGGGCCCAGAACAAAGGGGAGAGCAGATTATATAGTCTCTTTTGGTGCACAGGCCTCGTGACAAAGGGGGAGCTGGTGATTGGTTTGGCTGGCCTTTACGTGGTTTCCTAAATATGGTGAGGTTGGCTTTCGGCCAAGATGATTGGCCCCCTACACCTTATCTATACAGGGATGCACAAGAATGCAGGTTCCACCCACGGGGAAGTAAAAGTTTCCCCTGGAATGGCAGTTTTAAGAACATGGCACTGATTATATTCTTCAGTTTCTGTTGAACAATAAGCCACCCAAATAATTAGTGGTTCAAAATAAATCCTTACTTAGATCATAACTTTGTGGATCAACAATTTTGTGTGAATTCGAACTAGACACTTTTTCTGGCTTTGGTTAGCTAATGTCTGTATTTTAGTCAGCTTCAGGTCAGCTGGGTAGCTAAATCTTTAGATTTAGATGGCTGGCAGTGAAGGAAACCTTAGCAACAAGTTCAACATGCTTGCAATCAATCAAAAAGCCACTACAAGCTGTTCATTTGGTGCTTGGGTAGTGTTTTAAGAGAGTTTTAAGATAGAGCAAGAGGTGTGGCCTCCTGAATCCTAGCTTGGGAACAGGCCACATTTCATCACAGCCACATTCTAATTACTCAAAGATGAGCTTCCACACTGCTTTCCATAGGTATGAGGCAGTCCTCATTGACCCTAACAAGCTAAGGGGGTTCCTTTTTCCCTCATCAGGGCTTCTTGTTTCTGCATTCTTTAATATAAGTCATTCTTACTGGTATGAGGTGGCATTTCTTTGTGGTTTTCATTTGCATTTCCCTGATGATAGGTGATAATGAACATCTCTTTATAGATATTTAATATCACTCCTGTCCATCTCCCATTCAGTAAGATGTCTTTTAATTTTGGTCACTGTCTCTTTTGCTGTACAGAAGTTTTTTAATTTCATATAGTCTCTGTTTTTAAATTCTCTTTTTATTTCCTGGCTGCTGGGGATGAGTCCTCAAAGATGTTTTTGGATTTTATGTTATGAAGTTTGCCAATGTTTTATTCTATATATCTTATGGTTTGAGGACTTACATCCAAGTATTTCATTCATTTTGAGCTGGCTTCTATGTATTGTATGAGATAATGGTCTAATTTCATCCTTTTTCATGTGGCTGTCCAATTTTCCCAGTGCCAAGAGGGTTTCTTTGTTCCAGTATGTATGCATAGCTGTGTTGGCATATATTAGCTCTCCATAAAGGTGTGGTTTTATTTCTGGGCTCTCAGTTGTTTCCCATTGGTCTGTGTATCTCTTCTTGTTCCATTCCCCATGCTGTTATTATTATGGCTTTATTATATAGTTTGAAGTCTGAAAGTATAATATCACTATTTTCTCTCTTTCTAGTCAGGAGAGCTTTAGCTTTTTTGATCTTGTGTGAAATAAACATGAATTTCAGTAATGTTTTCTACGTTTCTTTGAAAAATACTATTTTTTTAAAGATTTATTAATGCTTACAAGAACTGGGGTACAGGCCAGAAGAGACAAAGTGGGGGGCAGAGCAGGCAGATTGACTGAAATACACTGCTGAGGGGAGCACCCGGCGACACAGGAGAGGTCTGCTGCGTCATGAGGGGCAGCTCCCTGGCCGGGGATCAAACTTGTGCTGCAGTGGCTGCAAAGAGCTTCACAGTGCTGTGCTTTGCCTTGTGCCACCAGGAAAGCCCCTGCTATTGAATTTTTTATTGGGATTGCATTAAATCTATAAATTGCTTTAGGGAGAATAACCATTCCAAAACCGTGGAATTTTTTTTTTTTTTTAAAGGAAAAGACAGTTCTATGAATCTTCTATTAGATAATGGGATATGGTAGTTTCTCTTTATGGAGACTGTAGAAGATACTATAATACTGGAATTAAAACTATCTCTGTTATGTTTTTCCCTTACCAATCACAGACCAATAGACTTCAGAGGTCTAATAATGTATCAATGCACTTTGGGGGCAAATTTAATATATAGATTAAATGATACAGAATATGATATATTGGTCAAGTAATATAGTATAATTGTGTATAGCAATGAACATTTATCTTACCAAAAAATCATAGGATGTTCTCATTGATGATTAAAAGTAAAGGCACAAAGGAGTTGTCAAAGAAACTATGATCTTTTACCCTATTAAAAGAAACCATTGTCGGCCCACCCTGGTGGCCAGCAGGTTAAAGCACAGCAAGCACTAAGAAGCTAAAGCCACTTCCTCATGTGTTTGTTTGATCCCCGCCTGCCCCAGAGGAGATCCACATGGCGTGGCAGACCTCTCCTGACCCGGCCGCTGATCCCCTCAGCAGAGTACTTCGAAGACCTGCTTGCTCTGCTCCCAACACTGTCTGGTGAATCCTCTCACTGCCCCTGCACCTCTGGCCTGTACCCCAGTTCTGTATGCACAAATAAACAAATCTTAACAAAACAAACAAACAAACAAACAAAAAAACAAACCATTGTCGAGCCCTCCCTGGTGGAGCAAGGGGTTGAAGCTCAGCACTGGAAGCTAACCGCAAGCTACAGCCACTTCAGTGCAAGTTTGGTTCCCCAGCCAGAAAGGTGACCCAAATAGTGCTGCTCCCCTCAGCAGTGCACTTCATCAATCTGCCTGTTCTGCTCCCCACTCTGTCTGTAGTGAATCCTCTCACTGCCCTGAAGCTCTGGCCTGTACCCCAGTTCTGCATGCATAAATAAATCTTTGAAAAACAAAAACAATAACTTGTTTGGTAAGCGTATGATGTTCACAAACATTTGAAAGAAACATGTGAAGAACATTTTCCATCGTAAGGGTAATGCCAATATGCCTGAAGCAGCAACTTAAATGTTGCTGAGGAAATATTTTCACGCTATTACTTTTGCTTCATTTTTGCAATGTGATTCTAGGTAAAGATAATTTTTACACACTCCTTTTCCAAAGTAGTTGAGATAACCATTCATTCTACACCATATTGATTATACATCATATAGATTATAAATAATATATCTGGAAGCTATATTATGATGGTGCAGTATAGCTTCTTCACAAGAAACTCCCATTAAGAAAGAACTAAAGAGCTTCTTTGGAAAGAGTTACGTGTTTGTACTTCTCAAATTGGTGAATAGGACACCCATCATTCAATACTTTCAGGTTATCCAATCTACTTGGAAATACCAATAGATTGCTCTACTGATCCAAGCTTACCACTGAAGCTCAAGCATTAACCTCTCAAGTATGGATGCCATATTTTTGTTTTTGTACAAGAAACTGGACTTTATAATAACATATGATATTCTTATGTAAACAAAAACAATTAGCAAACTTTTAAACTTTTTGTTTAAATGATCATTGTTGTCCAAGTTTATATAATAGGCTGTTAACCCATAAGAAAATTGGCAAAAATTCACTTTGTGTTCTGGAGGATTGTTAGACAAGTCATATCAAAGAATCAAGTTCCCTGGAATAAACAATAGGAAATTTTGAGTAATGGAGTATTCTAATTCATTAACTAACTTTTAAAAAATAGTTATTTATTTATGCATACAAAAACTTGGGTGTAGGTCAGAGATGTGTGGAGGTGAGACGACTCACCAGACAGAGTGGAGAGCAGAACAGATAGGTTGACTGAAATACACTGCTGAGGAGAGCAGCGGGCAAGACAGGAGAGGTCTGCTGCGCCATGTCAGCCAGATACCTGGTTGGGGACCAAACTTGTGTGGCAGTGGCTGGCAACAGCTTGCCAGTGCTGTTTTTGTCCCCTATGCCACCAGGGAGGCCCCTAGTTAAACTAATTTCTTTTTTTTTTTT